TGGCTGGGATTACAGGCACCTGCCACCCGAGCTGGGCTAATTTTTGTATTTTTAGGGTTTCACTCTGTTGGCCAGGCTGATTTTGAACTCCTGGCCTCAACGGATCCACCTGCCTTGGCCTCCCAAAGTGCTGGGATTACAGGTGTGAGCCACCACCCCTCATTTTGGGATTTCAGGCGTGAGTCACCGTGCCCTGTGTTGGAATTAATTATAGGCATGAGCAACCACGCCTGGGCTTCAGTGGCATTTCTTGCCTCTCTTTACTCCTGCTTCCTCTTCCTTGGAGGTTCTGAGAGCAGGGGATGGAGAAACAAGAGGAAGAGAAGGAGAGAGGATCTTCTTGAATGCTAGGCCACGTCTCAGACAGGGCTCAGCAGGTGTCTTTCCCTAGAGAACAGGAAGGACCCAGACACCGGGGGGTCACAAAGCTGGGACACTTTAGAGGTCACAGCCATACCCCAACCCTATCACTCCATCAGGGCAGAAGGCCCAGAGCCTGAGAACAGGGCTCCTCTAGGACTGGTGAGAGCAAACCTCAGGCTCTATGATGTGGATAAAACTGCATTTAGAAGCAAGGACATCCAAGGGCAGGACTGACTGCCTGGGCGGAAGCAGTGGAAATGTTCTGGGAATGTGTTTCTGGGACACTGTACATTTAAGGCACTTCTCACCCCTCCCGTGAATTTTGTAAGCATTTAATAGCATTCGGGCCATCTGAAATGCTGATGAGAAATAAAGGTTGGTAGGTGTTATGAAACCCCAGGAGGATCCCAGGAGTTTCTCTGTGGCCGGTTTGGCTGGAGTCCTTTTTTTTTTTTTTTTTTTTTTTTTTGAGACGGAGTCTCGCTCTGTCACCCAGGCTGGAGTGCAGTGGCCGGATCTCACCTCACTGCAAGCTCCGCCTCCCGGGTTTACGCCATTCTCCTGCCTCAGCCTCCCGAGTAGCTGGACTACAGGTGCCCGCCACCTCGCCCCACTAGTTTTTTGTATTTTTTAGTAGAGATGGGGTTTCACCGTGTTAGCCAGGATGGTCTCGATCTCCTGACCTCGTGATCTGCCTGTCTCGGCCTCCCAAAGTGCTGGGATTACAGGCTTGAGCCACCGCGCCCAGCGGCTGGAGTCTTTTAAGGAGCCTTCAAAGTCACGGGGAGAGGCAAGGGCAGGGTTCCCTACTGGATGCAGCTGGCGAAGGAGGGGTAATGCTATCAAGGCTGTGATTTGGGTCCCTGGGAGGCCAGATAAAGAGAAAACTCTCTGCATCCCCTGGCTTCTCCCTTGCCATTTGGGTAAGGGAAGGATTTGTCCAGGTTACTTCGGAGGGGTGAGGGGCTTATCTCCAAGCCGTCGTATTCTGTGGCTGGTCCCTCCTGGTCCCTCTTCTAGGACAGACCCATAAAAAAATGGCCTGGGGTGGGACTGAGAACTGAGGCAGGGGCAGGGGAAACCCACAGTGAGACCTCAAGCCTAAGAGCTTGAACTCTATGCTCAAACAGACCTTGGTTCAAACCCAGACCTCTCACTCTCAGCTCCACGACTCTCTCCAAGCTTCAGTTCCCTGCTCCATAAAATGAGGATAACAAGAGCACTTATATATTGATTCAACATACCATGTGCCAGGCACTGTTCCAGACCCCCTGGATACACAGGGAACAGAACAGCCAGAGAGTGCTCATCCTCCTGCACAGGGCAGCCCCTGCTTCTTTCCTGCCTGTGGCTCTTTCCATCCACTCTCCCAGGGCCTTCAACATCATGGCAGACAAAAGGACACAGTGCCACCCACTGCCAGTCCCTCCCAGAGTGACTGAAGGTGGTCACACTGTGCCCATACAGCCTCTCTCCCACTCACCAAGGGCTGGTTCCCACCTGCCATCTTGCTGGGGCTCCATGTCATGTACATTGGCTCCTGAGTTAATGGATCGCATGAGAACTCACGCAGGAAGAAATGCATGCAATGTTGATCAAATGAGTGGTCGTTTTCTGTTGCTAGTTGTCACTCTTGTGGCTATCAAGGTGTTCTGTTGCTTATAAGATAAGCCCTTCTGCACACAGCTGTTCTAGGTGAGTGCCTGTCTCTCTTTGCAGTAAAATATATGGTCTTTGTGACAGCTACTTGCCACTCAGAGGTCATCTGGTTCATTAAACTGAGTAGCACTGGATTGCAAGTGAACAGCTCTTAAATCCAGCCCCCATGCCTACTGCGCCCCCTGCCCTGCTGCTCCCCTGCCTGACCTGTGCCAGAAGGGTTCACGCACCCTCCAGCAACCTGGTCCCACTAATCTCTCTGCTCTCTGGCTCTGTCCTGCCCAGGCTGGGCCCCAGATGTCGCTCCCTCTTCATTCCTACTAGTTCCAGCCCCTTCGCTTTACACAGCCTGGTAGCAGTTCTGGCTGCTGCTGGGACCATGTCTGGGCCGTTCTCCTCCTGGCTCTGCACACAGGACCTTTCTGCCTTGACTTCTTCTCCCCCAGGAGAGCTGTTCTCTCCCCATGGACTGAACATCAGGAGTGGGCAGTGAGTGCCCCCAGCAAGCACTGGGGGGCAACCAGAGCATCTTTTAAAACAATAACTGTTATTGTACATATTTCAGGTATACAACATGATGCTATGGGATGCATATAGACAGTGAGAAGGTTACCATGATGAAGCAATTAGCATATCCATCATCTCACAGTTACCTAGATATTTTGTTCTTGTGGCAAGAGCATCTAAAATCTACTCATTTAGCATGAACTCCACATACAGTACAATTTTATTACTACAGTCCTCATGTTATACAGTAGATTCTAGCCTTGTTCATCCTACATACCTGCTACTTTGTATCCTCTGACCTTTAAAAAATGCCTTTCAACCCTTTGTGGGATACACACCTGGAAGTAGCCGGGTGTGGTGGCGGGCACCTGTAATCCCAGCTACTCCGGAGGCCGAGGCAGGAGAATCGCTTACAGCACCTTGTGATTTGCCTTCATAGACCTCATGACAATTCTAATTCTGTAGTAATTTTTGATTATCTGTTTAGCGTCTGTCTCCCCATATGAGTCTAAGCCCTAAGAAGGCAGGGACTAGGTCTCACTGCTGAATCCCCAGCACCCAGTTTAGGGCCTGACCTTCTGGTGAGAAGGAAGGAAGCTAGGGAGGGAGGAAATGAGGGAGGGAGGGAGGGAGCAAGGGAGGGAGGGACAGAAGAAGGAAAAAAGGGAGGGAGGGAGGGAGGGAGGGCGGGGAGGCTGAGGCAGGAGGATTGCTTGAGCCCAGGAGTTTGAGGCTATAGTGAGCCATGATCAGGTCATTGCATGCCAGCCTGGGCAACACAGCGAGACCTCATCCCTTAAAACAAAAAAAAAAAAAGAAAAGAGAAAAAAAAAGAAGCTAGGAATTGGGGCTGGTCTGGACCAAGGGAGGTGGCATTAATGACCTCAAAGGTCCCCTTGAAGTCAGGGGCCCCACAGTTCTGTAAATACCAGGAATTCAGAGTTGCACCCTTTGGAGCCCATGGAGAGGCTCAGTGCTGAGCGGCCACTGCCTTCTCTCTTGCAGCCTGCCTACAGCATAGGAGCTGTGACGCCTGCCTGTCCTCGGACCTGTCCTTCAACTGCAGCTGGTGCCATGTCCTCCAGAGGTTTGTGCCCAGGGTTACCCACTGACTCCTACTGGCCGAACATGGATGAGGGGAAGAGGGTGGCACGGCCCCGCTCCCGGCCTCAATGCCCACAGTCGGCCAACATTAGAGTATCTCTGGCCAGTGCCACTCTGATTCTTAGGACAAGAATATGGCCTGGGGGCTTCTGGAAGACCATTCAGGGATTATGCCCACAGTCGGCCAACATTAGAGTATCTCTGGCCAGTGCCACTCTGATTCTTAGGACAAGAATATGGCCTGGGGGCTTCTGGAAGACCATTCAGGGATTCCAGCTGCTCGGGCTTCCTCCTCACACCCAGGAGAGGAGGATTCATCCTGGAACAGGGCTTCTCAGAGTGGTCCACAGCTGTGGGCATCAGACCTTGGGCTGCAGTTAAACATGCAGATTCCTGGGACCCATCCCAGACCCTCTGTATCAGGATCTCTGGGAGAGAACCCAGGAAGCTGCATTTTAACATCATGCCTCATCTGTAAACAAGTGTCAGAACTGCCAGTTCACAGACAAAGTCTGGTCCAAAGACCCATGACCCCAAAACACCACCTCAAGAGCTTTCTTGGGCTGCAAGGGATTTTTCTGAAGACCAGGGGTGTGGACCACAGGCATCCATGGAAAGTTGGGGGAGCTAAAAAGCTGTGTTTGCTTGCTTTTAGAAGCTCAGAAAGTTCTGGGTGAGATTCAGTTTCAGTGATAAAGTTCTTAAATCCATCTCCACTTCCACTCCTTGTTCTGAAATCATTTCCTCACAGATTAGACTCAGAATTCAAGCTCTGTTCCCTGTCCAAGATAAATAAATGACAGGAGGAGGGGGAAGAAAAAGATTTCCTTGGGGACTAGAGTTCTCATGAGAGTGGGAAGCCCTATGAACTCCCAGAGCTTTTAAGGCAATCTCGAAAATTGCTAAATTATAGTCTCTGAGTTCCCGTGCAGCTGTGGTGCTGTTCCTTTCCAATGCTCCTTTCCAGTGCTTGCTTGCTTGCTTTTTTTTTTTTTTTTTTGAAACAGAGTTTTGCTCTTGTTGCCCAGGCTGGAGTGCAATGGTGCAATCTCGGCTCACTGCAACCTTCACCTCCCGGGTTCAAGTGATTCTCCTGCCTCAGCCTTCTGAGTAGCTGGGATTACAGGCACACATTGCCACACCCAGCTAAATTTTTTGTATTTTTTTAGTAGAGACGGGGTTTCGCCATGTTGGCCAGGCTTGTCTCAAACACCTGACCTCAGGTAATCCACCTGTCTCGGCCTTCCAAAGTGTTGGGATTACGGGCATGAACTGCTGCCCCTGGTCCCAATGATTTCCTATGCCTCCACACCATGGCCCACTCTGGAGTCTAAGGGTAACATTAATTCCAGGATTCCTTTGCTCCTTTCCAATATCCTGCTGCAAGTGTAGAAGTTCTCGCCTTTATAGGCAGCCTGCCTAGCACACGGACACGACTCTGGGCCCTGAGGGGATGGGGTGTGTCCATCAGGTCTCCCAGGTGTTCTTCCCACCAGCTGTGCTTTTATTCACTCTCTTGGGGGCCTCAGATTGTTTACCCTGTAAAATGGGCTGGGGTCATGTGATTCAGGAAGATGTGGGAACAAACACACTGTTATTTAAACTCCTCGAACAGTTTTTGTTTTATTTTGTTTTGTTTTGTTTTGTTTTGAGACAGGGTCTTGCTCTGTCATCCAGGCTGGGGTGCAGTGGTGCAATCACAGCTCACTGTGGCCTCAACCTCCTGGCTCAAGCAATCCTCCTGCCTCAGTCTCCCCTGTAGTTGAAACCACAGGTGCACACCACCACATCCGGCCATTTTTCTAATATTTTGTAGAGGTGGGGTCTCACTTTGTTAGCCAAGCTGGTCTTGAACTCCTGGGTTCATGTGATCTGTCCTCCTTGGCCTCCCAAAATGCTGGGATTACAGGTGTGAGTCACTGCACCCAGGCTATCAAGAAGCATTTTTACAAAGCATTCAGCGTCCTTCGCATGATACTCACAGAGCCTCAGAAAGAATGCCTAAGATAGACCCCAGGTTGGTTCTTCCTGGAGCAGAGCATTGCAGAGTAGTCTGCAGACTGTGAGGCTCTCCTTAGACCTGGAGGGCTTGTAAAATGCAGATTCCTGGGCCCCATCCCACTGAATATGATCCTCTGGGACCAGGATCCCAGGAATCTGATGTTTGAAGTTGTCCCTCTTGTACCTTTCAAATTTGAGAACCATGGTCTCAGCGATGGAGAGATGGCCTCAGAGGAGCCCTGGGATCCTGGGGCTGCCTGCCACCACATGACTCAGCTTTCACAAGCGCTGAGCCATGAGAACTGCAAAATGGGTCAGATGACAGCCAGACCCTCCCATCAATGCAACCCCCATTTAAAGCATACGCCCAAATTCAGAGACCATGAGTTTAATGAGGGTTGGGCCCTCCTCAACATTAGGAGGTTGGTCAGGCTGGGGGAAGGGCAAGGCCTCTGATTGTGTGCATCTGCAGGGGTTGTGTCAGCAGAGAGGAGCACAGAGAGAGAGGAGCTCTCCACCCCGGGGAGCACGGCTGGTGCGAGTTGGAAACCATCCCATCCCCAGGCGCCCCGTGGGCATGGGCTCACTCCTGCACACTGTCCTTTCTCACAAGCTCTCTGAAGCCTCAGTTGCAACTGAGAGCTGAACCCAGGTCCCCAAAAACCCGGAGGGCAGGGCCAGCTGACATGGTCTGTCTGGCAACAGCTGCAGTCAGTCCCCGCATGGTTCTCTGCTCCTCTCCCTCCACCCAGTCTGCCTTTCACAGCCTCCCAGAGCTTTCCTCCTTGCTCTTGGGCTGGAATGGATTTAAACAATTTCATCTCTCATGGCAGGTGCCCCCGCCCCCTGCCATGGCCCAGTCTGGAGTCTAAGGGTAACGTTAATTCCAGGATTAGCTCCAGAAACGGGGGTCACAAACCCATACCAAAGGCTCAATCTTTTAAAGAATCAGTTAGCATGGTCTACAAGAACTTTCTTTTTGTTAGTTTGTTTGTTTGTTTTTAAGAGACAGGGTCTTGCTCTGTCACCCAGGCTGGAGTGCAGTGGTGCCATCATAGCTCACTATAGCCTTAAATTCCTGGGCTCCAGCAATCCTCCTGCCTCAGCCGCAACGCATGGTAGAAAACCGGCGGCTCCTCTAGCTAAATATGTTAAAAAATTGGCGCGGGGGCGGGTGGCTCACGCTTGTAATCCCCAGCACTTGGGAGGCCGAGGTGGCGGCGGATCAATGAGGGTCCGAGGAGTTTGAGGACCAGACTGGCCACCCAGTTGAAACCCCATCTCTACTAAAAATACAAAAAATTAACTGAGCATGGTGGTGGGCGCCTGTAGTCCCAGGCTACTCGGGAGGGTGAGACAGGAGAAATTGCTTTGAACCTGGGACTGGTAGAGGGTTGCAGTGAAGCCAAGATTCATGCCCACTGCACTCCAGCCTGGGTTGGCAGGGTAAGACCCTGTCTCAAAAACAAAAACAAAACCCCCGCATCCAGCTTTGAAAAGCCCGTCCCTTTAAGGCTAAGACTTGAAAGACTTGGGGTTCTTTATAGCCTCCCTTGACGACGCAAGATATCTGCGTGAAAGGAATAAGTGATAAGAAGGGGAAAGGAAAGAAAGAAAAAAGTTAATATTTTAAAACTATTATTCCAGCTCACTATTTCTTCCCCCTCTAACCCTATGTTAGGA